GGCAGAACGAGACGGGGAGATGGAGCCAGCGGAGCATCGTCCGCGATAAACATTTAAGATAGCATCCAGCCATTAAAGACACAGATCGCATGGGCCAACTCAGGGGGTCCCACATCAACCAAGTCCCCTGAGATTTTGCAATCGGAATTATTCTATGGATCGAAAACTTGCCAAGTTACATTATATATTATAAGCTGGGTAATTGTTGTGGACAGCCTAGCAAGTTTTTAGCGAAACATAGATATATATAGTATTAATAACATGCGGAAAAATGTCGTTTTTGCGAAACCCCTCTAACTATTTTCAAACTTCGCCTCTGACACATTTTTTGAAATAATCTGCGGCTGGCGCAGGCTGCTTTTCTGCTCCTGACACAATGAGCAACAGATTTGCAGATTGCGGAAATTCAGCTTGCCACCTGAAGTGGAGCATTTGGGTGACCCTCGAGCGGGAAATTCGAGATGCGCGAAAAGCCGCGCCTGCGTCTTCTGTCCTTGTTGCTGTTGCATGTCTCATTCATGGCTGCCTGGCCATTATACCCATTATGTATTTTGTATGGTAGCAAAGTACCGCACTACCATTGTTAGGCAGCTCCGACATTGTTCCAGACAGCTGGCCGCGAGCATTTGAGCCAACTTTGTTGTGATTATGAAATGATTTGCATCCGCTTTTTGCCCGTAAATGAACTGGCTTTCATTGCCACGATGCCAGACATCGGAGTACATAATCGTATATTTCGGTGTGTGGCTGGGTGAAACTGCTTAGAATGCACAAACTGGCAAGACAAGCTAATGAGACAGGCTCCTGACGGAAGTCGGGCCAAGAAGATATATCTGTAGGAGACTTGCATTCGCCACCGCTACTTTGACATGCTGAAATATCTGCACGCTGGCACGTTTCTGGCATTATAAACACATTAGGTATTCGCAAAACATTTTCATTTGCCAACGATTGAGGGAGCAGGCAACAAGGGGTTCCTCCGCTTTTCCTTTCCAGCAGACGAGGTTTATTAATTCAATGCGAAATGCATTTTCGCCGAAATTGCTGCCTTTTACCCCAAGAGCTCCGTGAGCGAGGGCCAAAAAATTTGCATAATTGCGTGTTGTCAAAGAGGCGAAATCGACAGGTGAACCAGGCAGAGGAAGATGTAATTGCATCCTCTTTGGCAAGTTGGCACTGGCGGCAATCAAATTCAATCAATTTAATTAAGCTGAAACGGGGGCGTGGCTGCAGCAGCTTTCCAAATATGAGAGTAGGCACTAGGTAGTATACGCAATTTGCTTTATTTTTAACACGTTACGCACGTAGAGCGGTGCTAAAAATATAATCGCGTATACGCTTGTCTTTATATAGCCGCCATAATATCGAGTAACACACGCAAAGCGTTGAAGGGGGAGAAGCTGGCCAAAAAAGGAAGTGAGTTTCCCTAGTGGCCTGGCTACATAATAAAGCGGCCATAAAGCAACAGAACGTGCCAACAACACGTACAAATGGGCCAAAAGGGATGTGGCTTCGGTCCACACAGTTCTTCTGTTTCGGCCGCTATTTGGCAAACTACTTCCAAGAAACGTCATTTGATGAAAACTGGTAAGGATGATAAGAATGTTGGCTTTTAAAATTATCATTTGCATTAGTTTTTGTGCCTTTTGGTCGCATTTTCTCTATTTCGAAACCATTACCTCTTGTAATTTACTGCGTCAAATTGAAATTAAATATTTCAATAAAATGTAATATACGTGTAAATTATGTTTTCGAAAACCCCTTAAATACGTATGTGTTTGCTTTGCACCTTAATCTACTACTTTACAAATGTAACAAAGTACATGAAATACGTAAGTGCCCTTTCCTTTGAGTTCTTCTTTTCTGCCACCCATCATATAAATATTGCAAGTTAAAGTTTTTGGCAGTGGATGATGTTCTGCAGTGGCTTTGGGCCGCAGGAATTTGTAATTCCCAAACGAGGCAACGGCGCATTCTCATGCTAAACACGAAGCAGGAGCGATTTACTGGCACTTTTTCCATATTTCCTTCGCTTTGCCCCTCGACTCCGTACAGCCCGTCCCGAGTATGTGTGTCAAAAAGCAGACAACATAAATAACACGGGCCGCAAGAGAAGAAAAGATGCCCAACAAGGGCGCAAAAATAAAACACGTGCAAAAAGTTTTTTTACTTAAGCCGCTTGATAATAAAAATCAAATAAGGCCGAGGCAAGTCGAAGAAATGACTGAAACCGCAAAGCAAAAGAAAGTGAGACTGAGAAAGTAAGTTTTCACACACGCGCCGCTTGAAGAAAAAAAGAGGAAAATAAAGGCAGGAAAAACACGTAAATAAATAAGAAGCGTGAACTTGAATTGATTTGCTTAAGAGAGCCCAACGAAACTCCCCTGAGTTAGGCGTAAAAACATCATAATTATAACGAGGTAGCAATTTGTTTGGTTTCGCCCAGACAACGAGGCGTATGAGCAATATGCGGGCAAGCAGCATTTTTATGGCACACACGGGCATCAAATTTAAAGCGAATGCCAAGAGAAAAAGGTTAAATGCAGCTGTAAAAATTCAACGACAGTCGCTTGTAGGGCTGTGAAAAAAGATTTATGAAAAATTGGCTCTTGTTGTTATGGCTGTTATGTCGTTACTGTTGCTGTTGTTGTCCTGGCTCCTATGCGTCGAGGGGCTGCACAAGTAAACAAGATAACATGGCCGAAACACACACTCACTCGAAACGAAACGAAACGAAACGCAACGCAACTTACACACACAAAGAAAGGGACGCGAGCGGAAATGAAAATGTGAACTTTTGACAGAACTCGCATTTTTTGCCCGCCACACGACCTTCTCTGTTCGTTAGGATATCCGCTTTACCCGGCCGCATTTTTATCAACTAGCATAAATAAATCAGAAACTATATGCCCTGAGGTCAAAAGGTTTATCCGCCTGCCTGCACGGCGAAAACTGGGGCTATTATGAAAAATAAAATCGCACTGCGAAATACCGTGAGAAATCTATCGTTGAAATTGGTAAGGGATCAAGAAAACAAAATAGCGATAGGTATTTTTGGTTTTACTCATTAAGGCATCTTAGAAATTATCGCAACTCTCTTCATTATCGTAACAAAATATAGATCTTGTAATGATTTTGTATCTCAGGAACATACAAAGCATTCTTAAAATAATAAATAGATTCATCCTGTAATTGCTATTAAGCATTACTTTTTTGCAGTAGCGGGTAATAAATGTATCATCCTAACATAACATCTTTTCTGTGCTCTGAAAGCTTAGAATAGCAAAATAATAATCAAAGCAGCCATCATTTTCAAATGCGTGTTCATGTTGAATTGAATTTTATCTGTAGACCGCAAAATAAACAAAGATGCCAAAGCAATTTTGTGGGCAATGGAAATCACAACAAACACATTGTTGGTTTTTATGCATAGATAAATGCACATCGGCTAACATGGGTTAACTGGGTTAAAGCGACAAACGCAATTGGGAACGGCCACAAAAAGCAGCACATTTTTGTTAAACATTCGCTGGCCTTTCTCGACGTGGCTTCTCTTTCTTTCCTTTAGCCATGTTTTCCCACATAAATGTAATTTTAGTTTTATCGGTCTTTCACAAATATGTGTACCGTTGTTGCTCGCGCTAATGTTTATGCATTTTAATGGCACAGTAACAACAGCAGCCCGAGCAGCCAAGAAAAGTCGGAAAATTTGGCAAGTGAAAAGCCAGCTGCAAGCAGCCGGCGCTGGCCAGCTGTCTGATCTCTGCCCCCCAAGATAAAACTGACCCACCCCGACCCTGGCCCAATATCAAAGTCAAATTGTGCGTGAAATTCTGATGTTGCCTGTGCCAAATAAAACCATCACCGTCGCCGGCGAAAAATGTGGAGACCAATTCAAAGCTGATGACTAAATGATGAGGCAAGTGATGGGCAGAAAAGGGCCAGCATCTCGGGAATGTGGAGCAGGCGCGTCATGTTTCCAGCTCATTAGACTTGTGTATTGAATACATCTTGATATCCCAATTTAAGTGGCAACGTTCTTGTAAGATTTCATTTATTTGGGCCTACGCAAATAGCGCACAAATCTTTTTGCACACCGTTCAATTGTATCAATTATAAATTAAAAGCATATTGTAACAGCAGGTATTAAATAATAAGCGTGTTATAAAAAAAGCCGGGGTTCTTCATGATTGAAGGGCTGTAAAAGTTAAGGAAAAACTGGTAGTTAAAGTACTGATTATAACTACGGGAATGTAAGAAATAGCCATGGCATACTCTATCGATTATTAACCCGCCTCCTCCCCGTAATTAGTTTCCCAAGTGATTGTGCTTTCCTCCGGGATTATTAGCTTGTCATCCAGGGAGATTCCACCCCGGCCAAACATCAGCACCCAGCACCACCCAGCATATCTAATTGCATTCAATATTCCCCCTCTGAGTCTAAGCCCTTCCAATCGCCAGATGAAATTTCAAGTAACAAGAAGATAAGAGGAGGAGGCAATCCCCTGTAATCCCAGCCAGGCGAAGAAATCACAGTCACAATCCTTTGGCTGCGGACTTTGGACTGCTCGCTGGCGAGAAGTTCGGTCGAAACTTGTTGAAAAATTGCAAACGTTAATCAAAGTTAAGCGGCGCAGAGCAGACGATGCGATGCCGACGTCAAAGTTAATTAAATTACAAAGTTATTTAATACTTTGGAATCGCAGACGTTCAGCAGAACCAGCAGGCAGCAGGAGCATCTGCTGCTACACCAGGCGCAGGACCTCTTGCTCCTTCGCACTCTTGCAACATCATCGCAACGTGTGGCAGTATTTAATGAAATGTAATGGAAATAAATTAATTTTCCTCACACTTTATTCCGAGGAGTAGCTCGGCCTGGTAATGGAATATTTCGTGTGCTTTTCACCTCTTCCTGAGCTGCAGCTTAATTCGGTGTTCAATCTTCAGGTACTACTCTGCGTGGAGTCCTGCATGGACACTTCTTCTAGACCCTCATTGCTTCAGGATTCCTCCATTTCCTCGCCGTCTCCTTCGCGATTTTCAGAGGATGTGCGTGAACCACGCAGCTTGGGCTCTTCCAAGAAGCGGCAGTTGAGGGCTGTCGGGATCAAAGTTGTTATGACTATGTGAACTGATGGCTGCATAATGAAATAAGCTCGGCCAGGCAAAAGCGATCAAAAGTTTAAATGTTCCGCTTCGGTTCCTCTGTGGATTCTCGAGGTTATTTCACATGATGCGTCGCTAGACCAGGGGGTTTAGGGGGAAAACAGTTTTCCAGTCTGAAATCTCTCGAATTTTTGTCTTCTATTTACTATTTATATTTTACTATTATTTTCAGACTGAGTAATGGCTACATGATACTACAGAGTAACCTGCAGGCCGAGTTTTAGATCTTTTTTGGGTAGTTGCATATTTTCCAAGAATATAAACCAACGTCGGCTTAAAAGAAGTTACAATTTAAACATTTTGGGGTGTTTTGAACAAAATTGTAATGTTTTTCATCATTTTTATAACTTTCTTGTTCGATTCTGAACGATTCGTCAACATCGTTTTTGAAATAGACGATCAAAGGGCTTGGCACTCAACAAATCGGCATTACATTATCGTTGGAAATAAGCGGAATTTCATTTTAAAACTTAAGCAACACATTCCTACATAGTTTTAGTAACGATCCGGCTAAACTGCTTTGCCCCTTAAGGGTTCAGTACAAAATTTGGTGTTCTTTAATGTGGATACCTTTTAAAGATGTTAAATTGCATATAATGGCAATGCAAAAGCGTTTTATGCAACAATGTTACTATTTGTGTACATAAATACCTTTGTGGGTTATCACCTCCATGGAAGCATAGATGTCCGTATCAAAGACCTGACTTTGCGGCATCAGGGCGTCCGAGTAAGGAAGTTTCTTGGGCGCGCCTAGATCCAAAATATGACCACTTGCGTCGCCTTGGGTATTTTCGAAAAGCGATATCTTGGGATTGCACCTCAAGTAGAAGCCATTTAAGGCCTTTTGAGTGCTTAGCTCGTTCTCGGCATGACGATTCCTCACGGCCACATAGCTGCGATCCGTAGTCTTCTCAATAAGCGTATTCCTGTACGTGTGCGCCCCTGGAAATGGTGGCAAATAGTCCGGAATGTACGAGGAACAGGCCAATTCCCTGGCCTTTGTGCCACTCAGCATGGCTTGTGGCCCCTTGTGAAAATCCTGGTCCGGAGTCTCCAGGGCTGGACATTCAACCATGGCCAGCGAACCCGTTTGGGCCTGGCAAATGGACTTGAGGCCGCCCAAATGGATGTTCATCAGGATGAAGATGCGCTCCAGATCAAAGTAGCTGGGTGCACTGCGCCCGGCGTGATTAGACCAATTGGTGGTCCGATGGGCAATGTCACGGAACCCTCGAGAGAGGGTTGATTAACAATAGTCTTGACATGGAATGCATTCCTTCTACTTACTGTTCCGCAAAAGTTCCAGCATCGACTGACGCAATACTTCGTCATCCACCTTGCAGTTCCTGGATGCCAGCAACTTGTCCAGCACTTTAGACAAGATCTCGTCGTAGGCATTCATTTTGGGCAAATCACTCGGGTGACTGTGAAATCGAGGTGTCATAAAGTTAGTTATCGACGATAACTTACTGACATTTAATCCAATTTCCTTAGGGTAGACAACGTTGTTTTCAACAGACAGCTGAAATATTTGTATACTATACTTAAATGTTTTTCAAGGAATCAATTATATTTATATATACTTGCGTATTAAACAAATAGGTCTACCTCCTAACAGTTTTACCAATTTGCACAATCTTTCCAAAGGCTGAGCACTAAAGACCAGCAGCTAACTAGCGTTTGGGAACTGTCCGCACCACTCCCCTAAAACTAATTATAATATTTTCGCCTTTTGCGATCGCGACCTACTGCAAACGTATCTCGTATCTTGAACATCTCTCCTAATGAGTTATGCAAATATTTGCAGCCGAATGGGTTCCAAGAAAACCAAAGTGGGAGCCATTGTTTGTCCGATGACAAATTCTCCAGACTCCGTCATAGACTAGCCAAACGTGAGGCATAATCAGTCATAAGCCGAACAACAAACGGCGCGAAAAGAGAATGGGGAACGGAAATCTGGGGGAAATGGGAAAACCAAGCACGAGGTCACTGTGTCAGAGTGGAAAAACTACTTTAGATGCAGACAGATTCGCGTTTACGACGCCCAAGAGGCTGCTGCAATTGAACAAAGTGAACCTCCTTCCAGAGTCCCTCCCCCATCATATCCCCTCACTTTTTATTTTTACGATCCCATCATGATGATGTACATGGTGCAGATGATGGGGATTATGCTGGCGGTCGTGCATTGTGGGCGTTCCGTGGCTGACATTTGTACAAAGAACTCGCCCGTATCTATCTGAGATCTAATGTTTTTGCCTCCAAGCTACCGTTCGCGGCCCACAGAGAAAAAAACCTCTGCTGAATTGAAAACCTACAACTTGTTGGTTGTTAATACTATAAAAGATAATAAGGTAGCAAGTAGTAAACGATAACTCAATCAGGTTTTGGTTAATACTGGAATGCTTAAAAAAACACAATATTAGATACCCGTTACTCAGCTAATAAACTGAAAGGTATTAAATACGCTTTCACAGGCCTAGAGTTTAAAGTTTATAGCGGTGGCGCTACAGTGGGTGTGGCCAAATAATACCACAAATTTCTAAAGAAATTGGCTAGACAAAAAAAACGCGTTTAAACGTATAACTTGTCTAAAAAGTTCAATACGCATATCAAATTGAAAAAATATTTATTTTGCGCACTGATTTAAATTCGTATATTAGTTATTCTTAAACTTTAAAGTTTCTTTATACTAAGAGGAAATAAATTGAAATGTATTTTGTGTTCTTTACAAATAGGTATGTATTATGTGCTTTAAGTAGTTTTTATAAAGTCTCCTTACATGATTTTAACGACCTATGATTTTAATTACCTCTTGATGATTCAAATGCGATTTTTTCTCTGTCTGTTGCAAAGATCAAGTGGCATCCGCTTTCTAGACACTACTTTATTTTTTAATTTATGCACTCGCATTGGCGGTTGCGCCCACTGTCGCATAAATTCATTCTTAATTAACAAGAATGAGGAGCACATCCCGACATGCCGTCGAGCGATTTGCAGGTTGTTTGCCCAGATGACAAACAAAATAATTGCTGCAATTTACCACCAGCCAAGACTGAAACATCGGAGTATCTGTATACATATATGTACGTATGTATGTACATAGGGGAAGTGCAGTCTGCGCAAATTGAGCTGTCTTGGGCTAATTCAAACGATTAATTCGATAAGCTTGCAGCTCAAATCGGCAAACAGAAAGACGAACGACAGTTGGACAAACTGGCAGCCAATGATTGAGCAGTCGATTGCGATTACTAGGGAAGTCTTTGGCCAAAGGCCCGGTGCAATTGCCGCGTCGGCTGGTTTGGAGCACAAAGCACCACAAATTGTTCCAGTTTCCGAGGCGCAGATAAATCTATTGAGATATCGGGACCCGGTTCCTCAGCGCAGATGCATTTTTGCCGGACCGTTAGGCCCACGCAGGCCAAATGCATCTTGGCGAGACTGTCGGGATTTCATAGAGCTTGTGGCACGATCTTCTGGGGAACTGATGCCTGAAAGCAATCACTTGACGGAGGGCGGCATATTCTTTATGATAGGCCCATGACGGAACTTTTTGGCAGGTTGAGCCACGTTCCGGAATAAGGGATTAGAGGCTAACGAAGCCAGTTGAACTAGTGACCTTTGCAGATTATATTTTATACATTTTTTAAATATTACTACTTTCATGATTTTATAGTTTAATAGTAAGTACACCTAAAAATACAGCTATTTTGTAATGAAAATATTTTACAGTCACATACATTTTTATAGTGGCCAACGCATGTAAATATTCACTGATTGGCGATCTTTTTTCGATAATGACCACTTAGTTAAGGCCTTATTGCAATCTCCTGGATCGCAGACAATCAAAATCAGGCATTCGCACGACTTTTTGCCGGGCAAACAAATCGCTAATGACACAATCAATAGAAAATTGCGTAATTAAAGCCATATGGCGAACGGTTTGGGCCACGTTTGATTTTGATCAATGGCTGGCAGTCAACCCACGGAAGCCAATTTTCCAAAGACACAAAGCGCGTTCGTCAACCCGTCAAGTTGTGTTAAATTGTATAATGACTACAGCACTAACAATAACAATTATTGTAAGTTATTGTATCGCAAAGGGGAAACGAGTTTACACGTATATGACCAACAGGTGCCACACTCAACATGAATTTTTAATAGAATGTAGAAATTGGGACATCGGTTAACTTTAATCTTAAGTACTTAAAAATGTGCATGTGCCATGTGCAAATAATGACGGAATCAGTGAGCAAATTTTGATGAATCGGTTTCTTATCTTATCAACCTAAAATAACAGCTTTTGGCGTGACTGAAAATGGGTTATAACCATATTTGCCCAAGCCGCTCACTGATTTTTGTGAAAACCATAAAAGTTTTTACACTCGGTTGAGTTTCTGGAATTTTAAAGTACTTATTGCGAGAAGTAGATTAAGGTTCAGCGCTCTAGGAATTATTTTTGGTCGAGCTTGGAGCAGTAGCTAAATTTTAAAAGAAAAAATATTATATTACTGGAAAATATGGCATAAAGCCACTGGAACAAGAACTATTTTTCGCCAATATTTGTTTTTCGGATATTACTAGGGCACTTGTACTCGGAAAGTTCTGTTGTTAACTTCTTTGCACTTCGACATTTGTCTGTTGAAAGAAAAACTTCTACACAAATAAAAGTTGTTTGCATTTTTCGCCCAACTCTGACAACGTTTCTTTGAACTTTACTGTACTCGGTTATGCAAATCGAATAGAAGAGATTGAGATAGTCAAACAGACAATGTTGCAATTTAGCCTTTTATGAAGTTGACAAAGTAATTTTGCACCAAGACTATTGTTGGTGTTTTCATGTTTGGCACTACCCAACTAATCACAGACCAGGTTGATATACTGGTATCTTTGTATCTGAAAGGAAACGCGAAGATAGCCATCGAATGACTTTATTACTTTTAATTGACACAATTTTGAGGCTATGCCTGTTTCTCTTTTTTGGTTCGACCAAATTGAAATTTATTGCCGAAACAAAAGGAGAATTATGTCGAACAGAATTTTATAAATTATCAATTCTAGAGAGGCTTCATGTGCGAAATTGGGAATTAAAAGCGGTCTGCGAAGCGCGTGGCACATTTAATAATTCAATTGTCTCTTCCCGAAACGAGCCAAGAGTCTGACCCGATTTCGATTCCATTTAAATTCAAATCAACTTTTCAAAGCTGGCAGCAAATTTATGCAGTTTCAGGTTCCCCATCTACTTTGTGCTCATCTATTCCAGAAACACACAAAAATGCAAAATGTGTGCTAAAAACTAGAAACCTTCTGAGCATAATTACGCAGTTCAACATTAGCGAAGAGCTTCATCAACATTTTTGGGTGAAGCGTAGGAATTTCTGAGCGATTTTATATGTATTCGGAGAAGTTTCTTACAACTTTCTGTATCGTATATCGACAAAATAAACATTTTCATTTTCAACTGACTGACAACGTGGAAGCCAACGAAGATAAACAAACAAAGCCCTCCAATGCAGTTGCTCGAATTATGAAAGAACTGCCAGATCAAAGGGAAGGGTAGAATAGTCGGGGTGGCACAACATATAGGGGGCAAATGGCGAAATCCTGACATTTTCAAGTGGCAGTGATGCGCCACAAATTCCGTTGCAATTATTATTATTTTTGGACTGCATTTCGCTGACGCCGAGTGGCTCGAATCGAGTTTTGGATTATTATTCGCCCCTCGATATGTCAAAATGCTTTGCTCCGAATGGTTTGCATTTTGTGCCTCACTTGAGACAATATTATGGTAAAGGAAATCTTGTGAATTCCATCTGCATAATTCCTTTTGTATTGAGCGCAATTATTGATTATTGCTGTATTTTATATTGCAGACTCGCCGATTCTACTGTGAAGGACTCTTGAAGACGTATTTTTCAATAGGTAATTATATTAAAAGTATGTTATTTGGAACATAGTATTTATGTTCAATTTAATTGGATTTATTCGGTTAGGAAACAAAGAAAACTTTGAGCTTAAAATAACAGGAAATCATACACTAAGCTGATTAGGTGAAATTCTCATAAAGATTCCTTTCATTTTCAGTTATTTCTCGAACGCGAGTTTCACTTTTTCCCTGAACCGCCACCTACAAATGCGTACTTAATTGTATTATAAATTTCACTTGGGAAAATGCAATCATATAATTCAACTGCCAGTTCGATAAGGATGCCATTTCTCCAGTTCATTTGGCTAATGCAATTTGTGCCACCAAAAACCGCCCACCAATGTGGTTACCCTCTTGTTAATATTCACCGCATATTTTGCGCAACGCCAGGCGGCGACTTTGGTTTTCATCTTTTGGATTTCGATTTTCCATATACATATGCCTCTAGTAGACGGTTTTCATTTACACTTTTTTATATT